TCTAGCCTCAGACTGATATACAGGTCTAGCCTCAGACTGATATACAGGTCTAGCCTCAGACTAATATACAAACCTAGCCTCAGACTGATATACAGGTCTAGTCTCAGACTAGTATACAAACCTAGCCTCAGACTGATATACAGGTCTAGTCTCAGACTAGTATACAGACACAGCCTTAGAATAATATACAGACCTAGCCTCAGACTGATATACAGGTCTAGCCTCAGACTAATATACAGACCTAGCCTCAGACTGATATACAGACCTAGCCTCAGACTGATATACAGACCTAGCCTCAGACTAATATACAGACCTAGCCTCAGAATAATATACAGACCTAGCCTCCACATTAAACACATATTTCAGTATAAAGATCAAGTACCTTAACTTTTACGTTCATGGCTCTTGTATAAATATACGTTTAGTGACTGTAAGGTCACGTACATTGGCAAAACAAAACGCCACTTAAAAACTAGAGTCTGTGAACATTTAGGAGTATCTAACAGAACCCATCATCCACTACTTAAACCCAGCCACTCATCCATTCGTGCTCATTCTGAAACTACAGGTCACAATATTTCATTTAACGATTTCTCTATCATCTTCAAACCTTGACCTCTACATTAAAGAAAGTCTACTCATAGCTAAAGACCGGCCGACCCTTAACGACTCACAAAGCTCTTTAGATCTAAAATTATTGTAAATTTTCACACTTAACTCAACTGTTGTGTAATACATATAAAAACACTGTTTCATCCGTCCATTTACTGTTTTTCTTAATAACTAACTAAACTAATGATTATGTTATTATATTATAATTTAAGTAATAATCATCTATGTGACACACTTTTCAGATTTCGCTGAAGATGGAATAAATTATTCCGAAACGTTCGAACCTTGTAAATAAAATGTTTTATCAACCGTCTTCATCTTCGTTATTAAAAACAAACTTCTTTATATAATTTCACGGCTGAAACGAAACCACACCAACTGATACACTATATCGACTAAACTCTATTATCTTCTCGAGGCTTTATTGAACCACGTGTTTGTAGTCTGTCCTCGAATTTACTAGAAACTTTTAGAACTTTCTAGATCTACATTTTTCAAATTTTCGATCTTAACGGCATGCGTCCTCTAGATAACATTCAAGTTAGAACATAAAAAAAATATAGCGTATAACAGTAGTAAAATTGTTGTGAAATATGAAACATAAGCATTGTCGGAAATATCTGTCTTAAAATCTAGGAAAATACAACGTTATGAAATTAGCAGCTAAAGTTTAATGTTGCTCATAGACTGATATACGACATTATCACGTGATTATGTTTTATCATAGATTTTCAGTTTACACGTGTGTTTATTGAAGAAATTCTCAACGGAGTTCACAAAGTAACATTACACGATCAAGAAGTGAAGATATTGTTGACTGGGTTCACAAAGTAACATTACACGATCAAGAACTCACGATATTGTTGACTGGGTTTACAAAGTAACATTACACGATCAAGAAGTGAAGATATTGTTGACTGGGTTCACAAAGTAATATTACACGATCAATAAGTGAAGATATTGTTGACTGGGTTTACAAAGTAACATTACACGATCAAAAAGTCACGATATTGTTGACTGGGTTCACAAAGTAACATTACACGATCAAGAAGTGAAGATATTGTTGACTGGGTTCACAAAGTAATATTACACAATCAATAAGTGAACATATTGTCGACGTGGTTCACAAAGTAATATTACACGATCAAGAAGTGAACATATTGTTGACTGGGTTCACAAAGT